AGAGCGGCTGAGAAAGACCTCCTCTGACACCACTGAAATACAAACTTGTCGAGTAACAGATTGTGTGGGGGAAAAGGAGTGGAGAGGTTTTTCCCTTTCGAGATGTTCCTAAAGTATGTTTTCTTTTTCCAGAATAGCAGGGAACTTCCAGTCCCTGTACAATTATATAACCACGTGTTAGTCTTTGCCATAAGCTGATGCTCTCAGTTCCCTTTATGTACATATTTTTCTTACACTTGGAGAGAATGTGAAAAATCAGACTTTAGAATTGATTAACTCAGTGCTGATGGATAATCAACATAATTAAGTAACTGAATTCAGCATGTCGTAATTCCCACTCTGCTGCCTCCAGAAAGCAGAAAATGTGTACAAACCACTCTGTCTAGGTTTTGAGCAATGCAAGCTGTGGTATCTGTTCCTGCCTCTCTGCTGGAAGCCCAGCTCCTATTGCAGTGCTTTGCGAGCAGGGGCTGCAAGTGTGTTAAAGGCCATCAGCAGAGCGAGACCCAAGTTAACTCAGCCTTTGCTGGCACTGTGCAGAGCATTGCCAGTTTCTCAGTGAGGTGTAGCTACCAAGAGGTTAAGAATTACTGCTGCAATGACTGCTGTCTTTAAAACTAGCTTCACTGGAAGAGGGGAGATATGCAATGTCCTGTATCTCACAGCCCTCATTATTGACACGTACGTGCAGGTAGATGGAGGCAGGTACTGCTTTCCTTAAAGGTCTGAGGAGATTGCTGTCCTGGCAAATTGCAGGTCATCCTCATCTCCCCACTTCCATTTTTATTTAATAAATAACTTCTATGTCTGTTACCCGTGAGCCATCCCAGCCTTCATGCAATTGAAGAGATGCAGCCTGCCCCTTGCCTTCCCGTGCGCAGCCCGGCTCACCCTCTCGCAGGTGTTCTCTTTTGTTCAGAGCACAGGGAGGGTTCTGTGGACAAACCCCGGAGTGACTACCTGGCTCTTCATGCACACCTTACAAGTTGCTATTGCCCATTGATTTTTTTTTGTTGTTGCTTGAGTGTACTTGGTGCTACACTTGTAGCACAGCATTAGGCTGCAGTGAGGTCCTGTCTGGGGGAAAATCTTCCTCCTCTACCTCATTCCTGTTCAACAACCGTTCCTTTCCTTTCATTCACCATGGATTTTTATTTGTCCTACAGCTTACTTCCCTCCTGCAGTTTGGAGAGGGAACTACTAGCCACCGTAATAATACAATAGGGGCAGTCCCACGCTAGTAAAACCTGCTCTCAGAGGTGTGTGTAACCCTTCATCACAGGGACCTTTGTGCTGTGCTGCCGAGATCGTGCACAAATGTGCAGGAGAAGGTGTGGTCAATACAATACAATCTTTGTATTTTCCAGCGTTGTGAGTTCAGCCTTAAACTGGGGAGAGAGATGAATTCATAGCTAAAATATTTACATCTGGACTAGCTCCTTCCTAACTGACTTGCAGAACAAATCTGGGGAGAGCAGAGCACTGCTGTGCCTCAGGGTACAAACTGCCACAATAAATTGGTTATGGATCCACACACAATTACTTGAGGGTTTTGTGGCAGGGTACCATTAAATATTACACCAAAAAATTGTAAAAAAAAAACAACAAAAAACCACAGTGTCTCTGTTTGCCATTAGAAGTCAGTACTTGTCTGTAGTTTTAGCACATTAATTTAAAATAATTGTTTTTATCTTCTAATTTAAGGAGTATAATTAAAACAATTTTAAAAGAAGCAAAGAAAAAAAAAAAGCCAATAAAGAAGAGAAAGCATTTGCAATATGAAGGAAAGCTGTTCCAGACATATTTGGTTTTTTTTCTATGGTTACAGCTAAATATTTCCTTTATTTATCTAACCAAATATATTCTGAGCTATTGAAACATAGATTTATAAGCATTAGTATGTATTGCTAATCTGTTACTCAGAATTGTCCAAAGTCACGTTTACTGAATTTTTCTATTGAGTACCTGTTCAGAAAGAAACATTGAAAAATTATTTGAAAATTAACCTCCTAAATTATTCTATTGTGTTTGTTAAAGTGACAAAATTTCAGAGAGAACTCAGTAAAATAAGACAGCTAGAGAAGGCAGAGCTGCTTGTGCTCTGGGCTGTTTCAACATGCCCTATGCTAGAGGTGAATACTGAAAATCTCTTTAGTATACACAGAAGAAGCAGTAAAACCAGTTGTGGCAAGGTAATGCAAAAGAAGGTTTTGAGATTTGTAATTATAAATGTCCTGCTTCTGGCTTTTTAAAAAAAAGAGTAAAGACTTGAAATGTTTCTGCGAGATACACAGAACTGATTGTGCTTTTACAGATGAGGAAACTAAGGCAAAGAGAAATTTGCAAGGCTTCCTCAAGGTCACCGAGCAAACGAACATCAGAAATGAAAATTTAATATGTAATACTGTTCCTGTTTTGTAGTTTAACAAAAAACATTCCTTCCCCTTTCTAATTATTTTTTGACATTATGCTAAAAAGCCAATACCTGATAAGAGAGTTTTAAAGGAAATAATTACATATGCTGAAAATAAGCACATATATCAATGTTAGAACATCTATAATTTTAATTTTATCTGATTTTACTGAACTGTGTTTGACACTTACAAAATAATATTGAAGGTTAAAGTCACAATTTCAATAATGCCTGGTATACCATTTTTAGTCATTCTACTTTATATTGTAACTTTTACTCAGAGAAGATACTTTTGTTCATGAGATTTGGCAAACTTATGTTTCTGTTCTAAAAAATGAATATGTAGTAAGTTGAGCTGATACTAAAAGTAAAGGGCTGTTGCAGTTTTTCTCATACAGCTAGCAATGATGCTGTGTATGGCAGGTTCTGATGGCACTGATTTTGGATTTACTAAGATTCTTGAAAAACACAGAAGATAAAATACAGATATTGAAAAATAAGTCTCCACTACATGATTTTAAGATTTTTTTTGAGGAAAGTACATGTATCATGTCAAAATTGTTAAATGGCATCATTCTGTGATCTTTCTTAATTTATTAAATAGCCAAATTGTCTGATGGTTTTCTGAATGGATGGCTAAAACTTGGTGCCATTTACTTCCTTTTTTTTCCCTTCTATATTAAGGGCGTTTTGAAAAGGAGAGACCAAATTCAAGGCGAGCTCGACTCCAAAGTTGATGCTTTAGCCAATAAAAAGACAGAAAAGGATCTGGTGAGTATGTACAGAAAGCTGAAATCTTCCAGGTCTTATTCTAACTGCAAAAGATGATCCCCTGAAGAAAGCGTGACCTCTTAAGCCATGCTTTGTAACTGGATGGTATCTCTATAATTCTCATACTTATTCTGAAAAGGTTTGGTCTTTGTAGCTGTACATGCCAGGCAAAGGCAATCATGAGAAAGATGCAAAACTTCAGTAGCTGGGCTGCTGGAGCGAAGGACTGGCAATAATGGGTGACCACTGTGTTTTGTCAACACAGACTGTACCACAGCTTATCTTTAGCATTTCTATTTACTTCCACACCGGGACTTAAAAGAAAGTAAGATTTGCTGCAGTGCTTTTGTAGCTGCTGCTCCATTGATGTAGGCGAGGGAGAGGAAGTTACGTACTTAAAATAAAAAGTTCTGGATTCCATTCTTTCAGGTTTCTGTCTTATTACTTCCACTTCCAGTATGACACCTTCATTCATTCTAGTGGATTTAGACCGTAACTGGTAGCCCATGGGGGCACGCATCCCCAGACCCATCGGCAAGGCTCAGTGGGCTGATTAAAAGGAACTTCTGGGATGAGTTTTGATTTTAAAATTTTTGATTCTTTAACTCTCCAGCCTAAATAATGTCTTTTTAGCACAGTGTTAACACAAAAGTGTTATACAGTGTAAATAATAAATAAAAATGACTAAATAATAATCACTGTAACTTTCTAGTACATCAAAGGAGAAAGTCCTTGACATTTCAGATACTTTTTATTAGGGTTGTCATAATTAGCTTTCATGTAAAGATGAGCTGTTTAGATAGTTTTTGGCACTTGAAATGCATATTTTTATTTGATTACTTGGCACTGAGCTGAATAAATAAGAATATATTACCACTGTCTGATATCTACGATGACTATGGTATATTTTGTAACAATCTGCCTCTGTATACAGCAGTGGGACAGTAAATAACTTGGCAGAACGGAGTGTTATATGTCACTGCATAAGTTATTTGCATGCAACTAGTTATGTCAACTTTCCAATGCTGCATCCCTTTTAATCAGTACTTCCCATTTGTATGGCTTGTTGGCAGCCTCCTAAAAACAGTTGCATTTTCACAGAGTGATTCAGCAATGAATTGCGATTCCATACAGCTCGTTTAGCAGCTAGTCTTATTGCTCTCCACCGTAGGGAAGGGAATATTGCCTGGCAGGACGTGGTCTTTTCCGAATGTATTTCTGTTATAATCTGATGGAGTCGTCAGACAAGGTGCCCGCACTCTCTTTTCCTGAACTGTTACAGACAGAAAATAATATTTTTCTGTTTAGCGTAGTATTGATCACACCATGTTGATTTGATATTGATAGTTGTTTACTCCATAATGAGATGTTTGTGCTTGCTTGCAGTAAAATTTTGAGATCATTTTGCACATCCTGGTTTTTTTTTCACTGTTTCTGTGTTTCCAAAACTATGTTTAAGTTTTGGTAAAAGCCTTTGGACTGTGTGATTACCTGGGTGTTCAGATCTTTGCTTTCTCTTTCAAATCCCCCTATTTAATAACTTAAAAAAATCCTGTTTCTGAGAGCCTGATTCTCCTTGCAGTCTCTCAAGAGCAATAAAACAGATGTCTGTTGGTCTAATCTGATAATAAAATCCTGTGTTCTCTAATTGAGTGGCAGCTGTATCCTGAAAACTTTTTCTTAATTAGAAGTTAAAGGCTTTTTCTATTAATGACAGTTTGGCCACAGAGAATGGCGTACTGCTATTTTTGACCATTCAAGTAACCTTTAACTGTTTTCTTAATCAGTTTTTGATTATTGTTTTAATTGTTAATATGTGTTGAAATATTTCGCTGACATTTCTAACCAGATTTATTTCAAAATAAAAGGTGGTCATAACACAGGTACTGTTACTGGAATTGGTGTCAAACACTGACTTTGACTGTATTTGCACATTTTTATTCCTAAACAGAATTTATGTAGCTTCTAATGATCTCATAGATGTCAGATTGAACTTGTCAGTGCAATCTAGTAGCCAGAAATTCTGCTGACAATGAGTGACATGAACCCTAATCTCATTTGAAGTACATTTCCACCACAGATAAGGAATCTCAGACTGTCATTAGAGCTGATAAAAGGCTGTGAGATCTTTAGCATTGGTCACAGCAAACACTAAAGGATTTAACGAACAGGTGGTTATACAGCAGGAGAATACAAAACATCCCCAAGGTCAGTGCAGCTGAAATAGGCTAGAATTGCAAATTAAACCTTACGAGATGTCAGGCTCATTGGCTGGGCAAAAATATTTTTTTGAGCTGTGCTTCTGCCACGGGGCTTTTATAAAATTGCTTGTGGTGCCGCTAAAAAGCCAAAACCTTGTCTCCCACTCCAAAATTTAGTCCATGAAGGAGGCTGTTGTTCAGGGTATGGAAGCTCTGAAAACTGTGATTTTGGATGCAGGTTCTGACAGATATTTGGGAGGACTTTGGTGTCTTCATGCTTATCAAGACCTTTCTTACCTCCAGATCTCTGGCTGTGGAGTTTGTGGCTTCATCGCTCCCACGCTCCATTCTGGGGGCATACACAGCAATGCTGTGCATCTCTCTGTGGTTTGGGAGCTTTCAGCAGCTTTGGTACTGACACTAGTGCTCAAAATAATTCTGACAAAAGGTTGGTGTAATGTGTTCTGACAGAACCAGATAAGCATTAAATGCTAACTTAAGGATTCTAGTGTTCAGGCTTGAAACTGAGTAGTAAAGAGATGAAATTCTGAATCTATCACATTCTGAATCTATCTTGTTTTAACTCCAGGCTAAAAGGGTTTAGTGTCACCAAGGTGTAGGATTAATTCATGTAGCAGATAGAAATTCATGCTATTTTGCATAGTGAGATAGTGTAAAATGCGGTGTCACTTACCAGGCAGTTTGGATATCGGGCCAAGTCTCTTTGGCTACAGGTCGCACTGTTCACGTCTGGCAGCAATTTGCCCTAGCAGTGTTTGGCTCCCGCCTTCCTGTCCCGTGGTCCGATGTCTGATCAGCACTGTGCTGTCCTGGGGATCACTGATGGGAGATTTAATTTATCACACTAGCTGCCTCGGTGAGATCAATGTAAGAAAATGGATTCAGAATCGTATTTAATTTGCAGGATAATAGTAACAATTTACACCTTGTAAATGAGGATCACACTAGGTAGATGTTTTTGTTGAGACCAAGCCATTCTTCTTCAAATTCTGCTGTCATAGCAGGTGAAGAGGGTGGCATTTATGTTCTTTTCAGTTTTGAAAAAGTAGACCTTAAACATTTCTACTTGAGGTGATGAAGTGTGGCATAATGCTGTCTTTAGAACTTAAGTCCATGAGAACTTAAGCCTTGATACAACACACAGTTTCTTTTGGGCTTTAGAAGGTGATGTTTAAACCCCATATCCAGGCAGGGATGTAGAACAGAGCCTGCCTGTCCACATCACATAGTGACTACACCGTGGAAGAAACTCGTAGTTCCTAGAAAAGGCAAAGAGAGAAACAAACTGTAAAATAAATGTGTTAAAGATACGAAGAACGAGACAAGGGGAAGCTGCTGCAGCCAGGGCTTCTCAGTCAGAGAAGTTCTTTACATGTGTAGCCTAGCTCATTCCCATTAGGAACTTTTTTCTTACAAAAGCAGAAAGTGAGTACAACAACCTTTCCTATTCTAAATAATCCAAAAATATCCACTGTTTTCAGTATTCTGTGTGTATTCATTTATGGTATTTGAAGGAAAGGTGATTAACTTGTGACATGCCCGAGGTACCGAATCCAGCTGCCTGGAATTCCTTCAAAGGTAATTTCCCCACATTGAAATGGATTAACCTTTTCCTATTGAATACAGCGTTGGTAGTTGAAATACCCTTGTCCATAGTTTGATTCCTGGTCTGGCTAGATAATTGAACTTGGGCTTTCAGTAAAGTAGAAATAATATTTAGCATTTTTGTTCTTGATTAATAACCAGTATTTCATTAATCTAGAAGTGTGGCAAGGAAAATCAGTGTAGAAATCAAGTCTAAAAAACAATGTTTATTCATCTGTATATCGTGGAATGTGGAGAACATCCATTCAGATGAAATTTTCAATTTTACTAGCTACGGAGTTTTTGGCTACTTTAGAAGCTGAAGGATTCCAGTATGTCAAACTGAATTGGGAGCCATGGCTTGTGAATTAAGTGGTGGGCTCAAGTTCTGTGACCTTTTCGGGCAGTGCTGCTTATTTACTTTCTGATGGCGACAGCACTGCCAGCTGTTGCACTGGAACACTGTCCTCCATGCATGGTTCAAGCTGGAGGCTGCACACCAAGACTTTCCACATCCTGCTCTGAATTTTGACATTTCTGCATTCTGCCAATAGGCTAAGCATTCCTTGAAAATCCTGGAAGTTAACCTAGAATCCTGAAGTTCGTATCACTGAAAGCACCAGCTCTGCAGAGAGCACGAGGAGCTATCCAACTTTACAGGGTGCTATATGCGGAAAAACCAATTCGCCTGACAGCAGAATACAAGGAAGAAGAGGAGGGTGTATGGGACCTGAATTTCAATGGACACAATGCAATGAGATGAACTTTTCCTGCTTGATGTTCCTTATTGGTGGTGGTTCTGCCTGCCCTTCCTCCTGCTGCAGTCGCTGTGCAGTCCCAGCAGATGAATTTGCACTGTAGCTGCAGAAGACATACCTCATTCTGTGCCTGGGTGCCAGCCAGAACCGACACAGCTGATTAGAAAATGACAATAGGTAACAAAATTACTGAGAGGACTAGAAGACTCATTAAAGAGGGGGCCTCTGTCCACGTACTCATTCCCATTATCTGGAAAGTCACTTTGTGCGTCTGCAGTAACGAGAAGAAAATAATGTCTGTAGCCTGCAAGGTTTTTGATCGTCATTTGCTGTGAAAGAGTTTCTTCTCTGCAGAAGGCTTTTGGTTTCATTTCTTTCTCGCTTCTGTATTTCTCTCTCCCTCACATGGTCAGAGGTTAGTTCCAAAACAAAAGATTGCAAGGTGACAGGCAAGAAATCAGAAAGTTTGTGCTTTTAATTTCTGCTGTCTTCTCCCCATTCCTGTTTCTCCTGAGGTTATCAAAGGCTCTGTCAGGGTTTTCTCAGTTTTTCAGGCCAAATCTAATTTGTGTAGTTGATTCTACTACAGTAAAGCCCTCTATACAGTAAAGCCCTCTATATTTTCCTTCTCAGATGTATCACTCTCAAGTGCTAGTGAAGAGGTGCCAGAGTCTGTAAGTTCTCAGTCAATAAAAATATCTTCAGCAACACTTTAATTCCGGTCTAGAATTTCTGTTCTTAATATTTCAGAAATGGTACTGAGTTATTAATTAAGAATAACATTTACGTTTATCCCTGGGGGATGATTTTCTGTGCTAAGTTAAATACCAACCTTGGTTCTGCAGTTCTGTTTGTCTGCACTACAATCACTTGATTTCAATCTTTTTTGAAACGGTGACTTTACTAATATTTTTTAATGTTTACAATTCATATTTAGTTCTCAGAAGAGATTGGGAAACTTGAAGACAAAGTCGAATGTGCCAATAATGCTCTGAAAGCGGATTGGGACAGGTGGAAGCAAAACATGCAGTGTGATATGAGGTCAGCGTTCACTAATGTGGCTGAGAATAATCTCCATTATTATGAAGAGGTAAAACACTTTCTCACAGCAATGTTATTTTTTCATTGATTATTTCAGTGGAGAAGTCCATGGGTTGTCAGTAAAGATAAATTTTTGTGTTTTAGTTCAAACCTGTGTTAACTTCAGAATCAGTTTTTGTGGGAAGAGGGAGGCAGTTTTCCTTAATTTGACGTGTCAAGCAAAACGTATTACATTTGTGCCCAAGTGGTTGATCCTGAATTCATCATCGACAGAGGGCACTCTTGTTTTACTAACCACAACAATTTGCAATATATATTTTTTGGTTTAATGTCAGCTGCTGTATTTCTTTCTGTTTGGAAACTTTCTGCTGTAACTTCATGAAGAAGCCCTCTGGAAAGCTCAAACTTGTGTAAATGATCTTTTATGAGGAAAACCTCTAAATGGGATTCCATTTCAGGCAGCACATTCAGTTAGTCCTCATTGTTATTTCTCTAAGGAATTGTCTTTCGTGAAATAATCAGACTTTACTAGAATAAAGAAGAACAATGCAGTTTTGAGAAGTCAATATTATAAGCTTATTGTGCTCTTAAAAAATATATATGCTGCAAGTGTATGCAATTAATAAATTGAATCTTCTTATAATTGAAACTTACTACTTTAGAAACAAAGAAAAGTAATCGAAATTAGATTTTTATTTTCAATTCAAATGCCATGGCTAATATTCTTGGTATTCCCTTTTACAAGAATGTATACTAAGAAAGAGAACGGGAAGATGATATACAACAGAATATGCTCAGCATTCTGTGGAGTTCCTTCATGGGGAACACGGTGATTGAAGTGCGCATTTTGAAAATACCGCAAATGTCTTGAATTTTTTTTAAAGAATTTCTCCTTATTTTGGGAAAGAAGTTGTAATACATGAAACCATCTATTAACCATAAACTAGTAATTTGCACAGGTATATGTTGGTATTTGTAACTTCTAATCCTGTATTCTTAACTTTTTATGGATTGCCCATTAGCCAATGACAGTGTCCTTATTTTACAAATCATTTCGTTAAAATATAATTGAAAAGACAGAGCTCTTGATCATCAAGTCTAATTAATTAACATACAGTCTGTGAGATGCACGGACATTGACAATCTGTTGTTACATATTAAGATCAAAATATTTTCTGAAATCAGGCAGCAAGCTTTTGGCATCCTCTCACATTTTCTTCAGTTACTGATGATCTCTGACTTCTATGTATTCCTTATGGATACTTGTCCTTATCCTGGGTACAACTTGGAGGCAAGGAGATGAATAAATTTACAGCTTTCTTCTATATTCTATATCAGCAATACATATGGTGAAACAATGACAAATATATTGGAATATTTTGTTAATGAATGATTATCTAAATTAAAACCCAAAAATAATTCTTTGGTTCTCTTTCCTGTCTAGAAATGCTTCTTGCTGAATTAAAATTTTAATTCAGAATGCTAAAGCTCATACTGTACATGAAATTACTATTATTAAGTCACAAACTGCAGAAAACAGTTCAACTGTTTCTGTAACTGCCAGTGGTTCTTCTTAAATATCCTCTGAAGTACTGGACAAATTGGTTTATACTGAGACATTATTCTTTGTTGGTGCTTTTCTTGAATATTTAAATCTGCATAAAATGTTTTTGCTATTATAACTCAGTAGATCTGGATTTCAGAAAAATAAATACCTTATCTTACTGCAGCGGTTGCAATACAAGAAAACATTCTGCTAACTGTATCATTCCTTGTTTGCAAAGTGAGGGCTTACCAATTTTTTTCTGTTTTATCAGAAAATGATTATCTTAATCTTCACATTCAAGAGAATGTGACAAAATTAATATTTAGATTGGGAGTTTTGATCTAAAATATGCATGTTTATTTGAGACCTGTGGTTAATGCTGATGGTTAATTATTATTGGAGAAGTGATTACTGTCAGAGGCCCTTATGTCACAAACGACAGGTGTGTAATGTACTCCTGAAAACAGAAGAAGCCCTAGCATCTGCTTTCACTATTTAGAAGTGAAACTTCAGGAGGGAAATCTCAGAATCAGAATATGATTTTTATGCTTTCACTAGAAAACAGAAACCTGCCTTAAAGATAATAGTTTGAGTCTCATTCATTAAACTCACAAACACAGTCTCTGTTACAGTGCTTTTCACTTGTTCATCATTAATGTTCTCTCACACGTCCAAAGTTAAATTACTCATTCATGCTTTTGATGCACCATTTAATGCTTACTAAGCCTTTTCCTTCTGTAGTATCCCTCATCTTAGCTCTTGCCTTTTTTGTTTTTTTCCCAAAGCATGTTCTGTACATGCTTCCAGGCACCATGGATGCCATGGATATGATTCAGTTGCCCAGCTCTTTCGTCCATCTCCTGCTTTCTAACTCAGTCATTCCCTGCTTCTCCTCCTTTCCACAGCTTCCTCCATCCCCACCCCGGTCCAACGCCTGTTCTTGCCCCTCCCTGAGCAGTGTCCCATTCCTTTCTCTACAGCAGTGTTTCACTGTGCTCTTCAGTATTCCCCACTCTTGCTGACTTGATTTCCCAGACACACAACCTAACCAGGAGTCATTCTTGTTAGTGGCCTTTCTCTGAACCCCTTACATTTTTGAGAACTACAGAGAAACGAGAGACAGACATCTCATGGTTTCTGGTGGCTTCTGTAGTACAGAATCCAGTCCTTCAAGACTGTATAAACTAAAGCCAAAGTGATCAAGTACAATATAGCAGGGTCGTCAAAGTACATTAGAATTTCTAAAATGTTATTTCCTCTTGAAAGAGTATGACCTTACATTTGTTTGGATTTTTCCAAGGATTCTGCTGTCAACTTGTCAAGCATCACTTAGCTAGCGTAAAAGAATATGTCTCCCTTAAGCTGGATTAATATTCAGGTTACATGAAGTGCTACTTTAAAGTGTTACCTGTAATTATATTTCACCATATTTACTAACTCAAGTATTTCTGTAGCCTTTCAGTCTATTGACTATCTACATTTAATATAATTGAATAAGTGTTGCATTTTTTCTGTAGCTGTGGAATTGCCAGGCTCTTTGTGTCTCTCAGTGCTGTGGTAACAAAGACACTAATTAAAGCACAGTGTTGCAAATTTACAAGGTGCCCCTGTGCAGACCTATGAGAAGGAAGGCTTTCCTGTGACAGTGTATAAGCTATGTTACAATACATTTAAATATAATGTAATTTAGTAGCCAAGACTGACCAATCACTTGGTGTTCCTGTAGCTGCTCTCAAGAGTTCATAAAGTTCCCTACTCCTTTTTCTTTGCTTTTGGAAGAGAGTTTTTCTGTATTCCACAAAGGCTTAAAGCCAATAACATACTGCATTAATGATTACTGGAAGTGCTAAAATAGGGATGATTTTCTAAAACAATATGAAAAGGTTTTAATTTTTAAATATTCAGAACTCTCCTCCTGTTCCTGAAGTAAATAGCATTGATTTGTTTGCCTTACAGAGAAGAGTTCTTGAATGAAGCACGCGTTAACATCATACCATTTATTTTGTTCCTTTCCCCCATGCCTTAGGTGTGACACCATTGTCTCAGATAGCACACCTTAGTTCAGAAGCGGTATCTGCCAAACAGTTGGAATGACAAACTGTCCACAGGGTGGAGCTTACAGCTGGGAAAGCCAGTTGTCACCAGGATATGGGTCATTAAGTTAGGTGTAGATACTCTGCAGAGCCCTAAAGATGCAGCATTACTAACACCAAACAAGATACAAAGTTATTGGTGGTGGTGTTGGCGTTTAGCTAGAATGTCTCTAGTGTTCCTGGTACAAATTAGTAAAACCAAACTAGGCAATGTTGAACTCTGGCTTCAAAGAGCAATAGCAATCAAAAATATACTACATCTTTCCTTTTTTTCCCTTCATCTTTTTACTCTAGTCTCTAGGATATTTACACCATCAAAGAAACACTTCAATTTGTCTCAGCAAAGAACTTTGGTAACCTATTATTTTCAGAAAAAACACTGGAATAAGGAGCTAGATTTTGCAGCCCGATCCAAAGACTAGTTAGACATTAAATCCAGCAAATATACCAGAGTTTGGTTTTCCACTGCTCATGGGGCGCGCTAGTAAATGCAGGAAGGTTGTGGTGGGTTGTTTTTTTTTTTTTCCCTATAATGTAGGATGATATTTAATTAGTTTTGGCATTGAAAGAACATGTTTTTTCTTGTGCATGGATGAGCCTTTGTTTTAAAGCATAGCCTCTAATTTTATTTTTATCTTGCCAAACTAATCCTATTAAAACTTTGCAGCTTAATCAAATAAAAATCTAAAGTTATCTTTGATATAGTGAGATTCTTCTTGGTATTGACACAGCTTACTCTTTTAAAAATACAAATAATGTCCTGATTTTCTTAACTATTTCAGGCATAATTTAGTTTATTTCTGTGACCTACATTGTTGTACAGGCATAAATTGATCCAAAAGATTCATTAGGGCAAACAATGGTTGTTCCCTGCTACAGCAACTTGCCTCTAACTCCAAAGCCCTTATGTACCTCTCTATCTAGTATAAGCTGTAGAAAAACAGATGAGATTTCTTGTTTGCCCTAGAGGCCTCTGTAGTGATGTATTTAACTAGTCATTTGGTCGCATAGCAAAAAGTTAGCTGCTCATGCATGTTGATCACATCCTACCTTAGCAATGCCTGGGAATTTAGCTAACAAACTTCATGTGATTTTCAAAAGCTCCCACATGGCTGAGCCAGTTTGTCGCTTCAAAGCCAGGATCCCTCTTTGAACCCTTATTCACTTCAACCATAAAAATTTATTTAAAATACTTCTAGGAAGACATTTTTCTATAGTGGGAATCACTATTTCTGTGCACTCTAGTTTTTGTTTCCTTGCACCCAGAAACCATCTAAGTATTTTTTTTTCTCTCTCAGACACACACAAGACTTCACTTTCAGATTCTACTCCAGAAAATGCCATCATAAATGATATTTTGAAGGTTTCAACCATCAAAAACAGGGAACTGGAACAGAAACACATATGGTGTGTGACACACTGCTTCTGTTATCATCCCTACTACATGCTCTATTTTTATATCTCCTTTTTAGTTAAAAATGCAATTGTACTGTACGAAAACCTTTCTGCTGTTTTTTTCTTCTAAAAATGATGTCACAGAATAGATGTGTGACCTGCAGTAGTAATCAAAATATTTTAGATAAAGTATCCTTATTTAAGCTCTTGCTAGTTCATTTTGTCTATTTAGGCTTTTCTATGCCTTCCGCCAGGCTTTTACAAGTAATTGGATTATGAATTTAAATCCTATGCATGCACATTTAATTTCCTGGGTCTGGTTTTTCCTCTTTTTTTTTTTTTTCCTTTCTGTCTCCTCTGTGAAAACTGTCTGATCCTCTATTTAGATCTCTGTTTTAAACCTCCCAGGAGAATGAAGTAAAATCATTCTGTAATAATGTTGAAGTATACATCACTAACGAAATGTCGTTTATGTATTTCATGCTTCACAATACAAAAAGCTTGAGCCTAAGGCACAGAGACCTAGTTTTGGTTTGGTATGGGTAATTATAAAACTTGTCAGCTGTAGCGGCACTGTGAGGTCTGACAGTGAAATGAGCCACCATTGCTCTTACATTTTGGAAAATATGTTCTGGATTTATAAACTAGGATAAATTAAAAACTGAATTACTTGTGTAACTGAAAAAATGCTTTGCATCTTTGTCTGGAAAGACTTCAGTAGATTGTATCTGTATGGTTAAGCAACATCCTGTGACTGCATTTTAGCACATGCAGTTTGGCTCAGTGTTGCAAAGATAACAGAGAGCCATTTCTACATTCCTATTTTAATTCACATTGCTGAAATTGTAGAATGACAAAACATGGAATTACATGATATAAATTGAACTGTGGTTCAGAAAAAAATGTCAGTCATTGCCAACAAAAGACTCTTCAACAGTGATCATTTCTTGTCCCACACCTAGAAAAAAACCCCAGGAAAACAGATGTGCCTTGCAGCTTTCTAAGATGGTTATCCAGGCTGGGCTCTCGCAAACAGAAGTCTGAGTCTGAGTGCCACAGTGAAGACACATTGCTAGCACCTGCCTCACTGACATTTTAAAACCAAGATGCTACCTTCCAGCTCATGCATCTCCGACAGACTCAGCTGCCACAGTGTCATGTGAAGTAGGGGAGAATCTAATGGTCAAACTTTAAAGGCTTTATACAAAAGGTCAAAAACACCTTTTAAGTCTGAAATCAGTTTGCAACACTTGCAGATCACTGTTCATGCTAACAGTATTTTCACCATTTCTCCCTGATTTTATATTTACCATTTCAAAATAACATTTCTCCAAAAAGTCAATGAAGAAAGCAGATTTCCACATGAGTGTTATCGTTGGGGATTTTGTCAGCAAGATCAGAAAAGAAAGATTTGTGGAGTAGATTCATGGTTTCCATAGCCTAGGAGACAATATATGAATAACAGGAACAGTCTCTGACATGCCTGATAATGACCAAAAACCTGTGCAGAAATAAGCTCCCACATACTTTTTTCTTTGTGATCTCTTAGGTCAGTTGGCTGTTTTAACCTCTCACATTATCTTGCAGACCCATGTCTTCTAGTTTTTTATGTCTTCTGAGGCATAATCACTGCTGACTCTTGTTTGCTGATTCTTGTTATTTTGTCACACATAATTTTATGGGTATCCCTGGTCTGCATCCTTATGTCATCATGGATTCTCCTAGCTCTGGTCATCCTGTGCGTCTCCTTCATTTTGCTCTTTGAGTTTATAGTTTAACATTGTTTGTGACTGTCAGATCTTCCCACTCGTCTGCTTGCAAATAGATAAGCAATAACGCCAGGACCTAGGCTCTTTAATGTCATATGATTAAATCTACATATTTAATAGCAGAGTTTTGAAGTCATTCACTAGAAATGTCTAATAAGACAGAGTTAGATGGCTGTAAGTTCAAGCAGCATGAATGCTAGCGTATTTCCCATGTCTCCTAAGCCATCAGAGATGGATACTAGATACTTCATTGTAGCTGGGCATAGCAAATTACTGTGGCTTGAACAGTTTATGGCAAAAGCTTTAACTGAGGAAATTATGCTGTTTCCAGGGTACTGCTTTAATTCAAAGTTCAGATAGATGAAGTATGCTGTCCAGGTTTTAATATAAAAGAAGGTATTTCCTGAGAAATTTCAGAAGACTTATTTATTGTGAATATTCTAGATTCTTCATTAAGAAAACCTCTGTATAGTAACTAGTAAATAAGCTGCCTTGTCAAGAACAACAGGTATGAGTGTGTAAGTCAAAATTTTATTAGAACATTTTCATTTTAAGGGTTTTTTTTCAGTAGCATCAAAGCAATAAAATTATTTTATGAGTTTGCCTGGCCTGTTCTAATGACAGACTTGAAATAGTAGAAACCTGGTACTTTGGGTAACAAGCATCAGCACACCATGGGTTACCTAGTGATGGCCTTGCCGTGACTCAGCACTAATCTGTGACTTACAATGGTCTGCCAAGCTGCCAACAGTCATTTAAGCCAAATTGAACAAAAGTCATTTGGGGATTTTTTTAATTTAATTTTACTGCCTACAGTCTTGGTGCATCAAAAAAAAAAAAAAAAAAAAAGGTAGTTTGTACAACTATAAATACATTTTTCCATGAGGAGATAAATGCCACTTGTTGGAAGGATGACAATTTCCGCCCCCCACACCTTCCTGCCTTTCTGGTCGCATTTCTTTCCCATTACTCAGGAGAAAAATGAATTTTCTGTGTGTTTAGAAAAAACCTCTTTTAATTTAACTTGGAAAGAAACGTGGGTATACAATAGGAATCCACAGAGATTACAAGGGAACTGTGCCTGACAGTGCACTTTCTATCTGGAAGAGATTTTTGCCTGTAACTAAAGGGAGAGATTAAAGAAGAGCATAATTAATGTTAGCATCTTCCATGCTAACACATGCAATTACGATGCTCACGCTATGCGCTTGTCATTATGTAAAAGTGACCTTTACAGCTCACTCAGCATGTTGGCTAATATTTTGCATATCACTGAGCTGCCTAGGAAACCATATTTGGTTCTTACCATAGTCCCACAAAAGCAGCTTGTGACAATTTATATGTATTCTGCTATTTTTTTTAGATTATTTTTTTCTCCTTGGCTACCAGTTTTACAGAAATCCATCTGCTATATTCATATGTATCTGTGTTGGTTTTTTTTTTAGTGCCTTGCTACATGGGAGTCCTTCCTAGCATCTCAAAGAGTGGATCTTCATGTGGAAGAAGATTCTGAAGACAGGCCTTGAGTAATATTTCTGCTTGATCTCTGCCTTTTCCATGCAGTTTCTGCCAACCAAAGAAGTGCTTTATACGAGATCAGATACATTATTAAATTTAACTGTTAAAAATCAGTGAAATGCAGAAAACCAGCTTATTGAAAACTCAGGTATTCTAGTCCTGAAATACATTTTGGAACATGCTATATATTGCTTAGCTGTGATTTTACATATTTTTATGCAAGTGTTTGCATACAATTGTTTTCATAAATATTGCATAATTTGGATATAAAGTATTTTAAATATGTAAAAATAGATCCATTTTAATAAAAAGTTTAATAAGGAAAGCTTGTCTTCATTCTGTATGTTAGTCTTCAAGAAGTATTTTTGTATTTTTGCATGCTTGTTATATTCTCTTTGTTGAGTAATTTCCTGTACTTGTAAAATTACCTAGTGTAGTCTTCAAGGAACTCTTCAGGATTATTTTAATAGATTGTGCTAGCCACCCAATGGCAGCATGGTATGGAAAGATGCCAGATGTGTTCTGTGAGATTAGTGCTGCTTTAAAGTACTGCTAATTCAATTTTCAGTTTTCAGTATTTACATGTCTATTAAGCATCTTCAATATGACATTTTAGTTGCAGCACACAAGAGCTTTAGAGTTGGCAGGATCAAACTTTTTACTCCTGTGGCTGACCTTCCTGTAATCCTTAACTTCCTCCCTCTTTGGATAGCCAGTGTGGAAGAGAAAGGAATAAGAAAGGAAAGGAGAGTTTTGCATTGGAATGATTGGCTGATTCACCCACGCAATATGCATTAAAGTGTTCCAGTCATTGAATTATTCCACCCAAAAGGTCTGTCAGTCTGCACTTGTAATTCCTGCAGTTGTTCTCCCTGGCAGTTAAGGTCTGTCTGAGCAAGCCTAAGTCTGAAAACAGAACGAATGAGGTACAGGAATTGGAGACAGCTTAACTGTGGCTCTGGCCTTGCAGAACGTCAGGGCTTCAGCCGTCCCCTTCGCTTTTTGTGGTGGGAATTTGTGACCTTGCTCCTGTCAGTCACCTAATGGCTATGGGCAGGCAGTTCCCCAGCACACGGCTGCTGGTTCCCAGCTCTTGGGTGGCTGTGGACCTGCCCAATTGTGGCTCTGATCTTACGAAATTTAGATTGCAAGTGAAACTTGGAATACCAGTGTGGCCTTTTCAGCAATGCAAAGAAGACTGCTCTCATGCTGCCTCCATGAAGTATTAATGAAAGCTCAGCTCTTTTTTTCTTTTCAGCTCTAAAATAGCAGTTAAGATGCTTCTTAAATACTGCAGGAAGCATGCATCTCTCCCAGCCTGGAAAACTCACAGAGAGGCGAGTCCGTGTGAGGAGCAAGGTGGTGCTGTGCCAAAGGGCTGTGCCACGCGGTGCCTTGTCCTGCGGTGCTGCCAGCGGCTGCTCGCAGGAGGCGTGGAAGAACAATGTGGCTGGACTATGCTCTTTTCTCATTGTATCCTTCCCAATGATTTTTTTTTTTGACATCACAGCTTCTATCAATGTGCATGATAGCCCTTAATGCCTTTTCCTGTCCTTTATTTTCTTTTTTTCCATCTAAACTTTTAGGATTTACCATGCGGAATATCAATGGATTCCACAATTTAATGTGCAGGAAAACTCAGGACCCAATAATTTCAGGTAATGCCCTCTGCCTCTTAATTTGTGAGAAGAGATGAACAGTTGCTTCCTATTTGTCTTCCCTGTGCCACTTCAAGAATATGCAAACCTCTTGTGTGTCTTCCAAGCACTGCCCCTTTTCCAAGAGGAAAAGCCGAAGCTTAATATCATCTTGTACAAAAGGCATCTCACATCTGTGCTCATCGTTGTTGCTTTTCTCTGTATTTTCTAGTTCTACCCATGTTCAAAATGCAGGCACATCAGAAATGTACATGATGTCATAATTATGCTTTGATTTTTTTATCATTCTTTCCTACTAATTTCTAATTTATTTTTTAAAGTACCACTGAATGCTGAGCTGCCATTCCATAGAACTGTCCGCTAACATTAAGAGCTATTCTGAAGGTTACTAAATAATTTAATTTCCATCAGTGTGTATATATAGGAGAATTGGCTTTTCCCCAGTGAGCATTAATTTGCATTTATTAATACTGAATTTTGCCTGCCGTTTTTAGCTCCTGATCTCTCAGTAGTGTATGGTCATATAAACAGGATTCCAACAAGACAGGCAGCAGTAACACTCTGAATATCAGATAAGCAAAAGGAATAGAGCTTGAACAGGTTTATTTGGAAGGAAATTAATGTTTAACTGTAACCAAAAAATTAAATACTGTGCTTCTAATTTAGGCTTCTCTAAGAAAAGGTAATGTCTGGTTAGCTGAGGTGGGGAATGCCAATGTGTGTTCCATTGATTTTACCTGTATGTTCTGCCAGAGCAGAAAGCTGCTCTCTGAGGTGTTTGGAAATCAGAAACTATTGGAGATTTTTGCATCCTTGGTAAAAATGTGGGCTGTGGTTAATTATGTTCATAATTCATTTTTAATTTCTTTTCCTCTTTTAACTAGGCCACAACTTATGGGGGGAAAGACATTAGTAATCAGTTATATAGAGGCTTTCTTGTGACCACATTGTTATTCTTCTGATTTTCTAGTAGCAGTATCATTATGCAAACCCATGTCTATTGTTAAGTAAAGTCAAATATTGTTCTTTTTGTGTTGTGCAAATACTTCTGAAACTTACAATTTTAGAAAGTCTATTGTGTATTTAGACCTGTTTCCAAACATTTTTCTTTTATGGAGGCTCACCTTCCTTAGGCTAATGCTTAGAAAGTGCCTAAACTATTCAATTATGCAAAATCAATCTCCCTATACTTACTGGATTTTCTTTATGCTGTTTTCAGATAGCTTTGTACAGCTTGTTAGAGCCCAACCACTTGAAATAATTTCTGAAGTGCCAGAAGTCTAACTAGGAATTCAGCTTGCAGGTACCTATAGCTAAGAGCTTCTGTCTGGAGGCCTCGACTTCCTTCTGCAGATTTGCAGACTGAAATTAATTAAATACATAAAAGGCAAATCTGATCTTCAAGAAAAGAAACTAGTGTAAAAATGGTGTGATGTTTTAGTGTGTCTGGCTGCAGAGAGCATGGAACAACAGCTCTGAGGCATATAAAGTTTCCCATCCAGTTCTGTGGGGCTTTTGTTCTCAAATTTATGAGAGATCACTTTAAAAACAACATCAGTGGTTTACTGTAGAACAGAAAATTCAAACTGCACCTGCAGTTTCCTATCTAGATAATCACCACCTGTATAATACAGAACTGGCACAGCTTATCAGCTTCCTTGGGCAGTCAGAGACAATGTGACCAAGGCTGTTTTCTTGGCCCAACAACTCCATTTTTCACAGTGATGCCTTTTCTGCCCAGCATCAGAGACAGACCACTGGCCGGTAGTCACGAGTTACTGTACAGATTATGGGGCTGCAAGGTTTAGTCATCGTGGTCTGTGTCTTGATCATAAAGAGGAAACCATTCCAAGACAGAAGAGAAGGTCAGTTGTTGTGAGCACCCTGCCTCTTTTTGTGTTAGTGGTTCACACCCAGGGCCTGTAAACAATGCATTTCTCTCTCTTGTTAGCCTGAAAACATGTACAATGACAAGAACAAAAAGCTTCTCAGTTACCTAACAGAGGAGCTGTCACCAGTGCAAATTGCCAGTAGTAAAGGTAGAGCAGAGATGGCTTGTATGGGTAAGACATCAGTGGCTCTAAGCGCTGCATGATTTTAAATGGTTGCCTGGTGCAGACTCTTATTGCTTGACAGGCTCCAGATGATCTGTGGCAAGACGCATGTCCAGAGAAAAAGGAAATAAATATGGGCATAAAAAAAAGAGCTGCTGTCATCCTGCACCCAAAGTAGTGACTTTTCAAAAAGAGTTGGGCTTTATATACTGAAATTCTTTAATTTGCCTGATAGCTGCGGGCAGGATTTTGCTGATAGCATCACTAAAATAAGGATAATGCTGGCATAAGTTAGTCATAAAACCAACCTTCCAGCAGGAGCTTTGCAGGCTAGGAAGAATATCAAGGGGTTTTCCTGCATATGCCCAACTCACACTTTAGTATTATGTACCAGCACTGCCCACTATATTGTACAAACAGCCCCTTGCAGCTTAGTGAAGAATGGATGAGAGCAGAGGTGTATGTAATAGGCTCCTCTGGTACGTTTTAAGTATACTCAAAGCAAATTGCTAAAGAAAACTTTTCTGTCAAATGGAGGAGCTCCCACCTGGTAGCCGGTGGAGCTGACTTGAGTGACTAGAGGATCACATTGTACAGCCTTAGGAGAAAGCACCTGGACAGCAAAACATTCATAAAGCACTGCACAGCTTCGAAGCTTTCAATGTGTGAACCAGTTATGAACTGTCGATTGGCTCTCTGTTGCTTTGACAATTGTAGCTGGCAGTGGCTCAGCCTTGCTATGAGGGACAGAAAGGCAACAGCCCATCCGAACGTGAAAGGGACAGCCACAAACTTTCAGTGGATTTGGGAGGTTTTGGGGACCTGAAAAGTGAAGGTACATCCTGTTTGAGGTAAGATATCCAATTAGAGAAATGCAGAACTGCAAAAGAATGTCCTTGTTTAAAATATAATCAGAAAAATTATCAAAAATTGTATTCATTTTCCTACAGGCAAAAAGCGACACTTTGAGGTTTAAATTTTTTCATATAGACTGTAAGATGACAGTGAGATTTCACAAGGAATAATTCCTCCGATAATTGCTTAGAAGGTTAGTTAAGGAATAAGCATTATTATGTCTGCATTAATAATTAACCAGCAGTTGCTGGTAAGCCATTAACTGTCAAACTAAGAAACTTCCTTGTAACCAAGGCAACCAATACAAATTTTATAGGCAAAATAATTGTGACCACTTAACATAGTAAAGTAAGTTGTTCAATATTTATTGGTGCCTTCCAGCATGTTTATTCCTGCGATTGCAGATATTTTGTTACTATCTCATTGTGGAAAAGAAAAATAATGGAGAAATATAAAAGGGGAGGCAGACAAGCAGAAAAAGCAATTAATTTATAATCTTCTGTGATGATTGTGCACTATGGCATGAAATTCTTAAAATAATTTAAAAATACTATACAAATACAGTTGTGCCTCATTTTGTCACATATGGGTACAGCAAATGAAGAAATACACTTCTCCTGAAGACTGAACCTAGAACCTTTTTTTTGGTATTAGCCTTTTCCTCATTTCTGAGTCTTTGCTGAAGCAGAGAGACTGAGCACAGACCAGCATCAGCCCTATTCAGAATGTCTAACACAGAAAGGCAGTACTGGG